GGGTGCTAACTTCCGATCATTATTTTGTTTAATTAATTAAAAAATAATGAAGGGTCTACAAAATTTTTTAATGGTATTACAATGATGTACAAAGGTCCTACTATTGATCTAAATAAAAAAACTAATGAATTTTCAATTATGTGGTGCCAACTACCAGTCCCCTATCATACCTTACTTATTTCCAGTTACCCTAGCGCTCTCTACCAGTTCTGGCGGAAAAACACTTTTGCCGTTGATTTCTGGTGCTTCTCAGAAATTTCTAAACTAAAAATATGTATCTGGCTTGCCTATCTAATAACATCGGAGAAAAAAGCACTTCATGCCCACCAATTATTAATCCTCGGATATTTTCTGGCAATATATCTGACCCTGGTGTTAACGATAATTAGCAACAGACTGTGGTAACTCAAATCACGAAATTTTTTTCAGCTTTTTAGTGGAAAAATCGCAAATGGCCGTTGCCGATGACACGTACAGATTCATAAAAACAATAATCGGGCTGACATCAATATAATCACTACCTGTTTGGTGCGTTTACAGAGGTAATGGAAACGAGGATTCATCCCAACAAATGACTAGGGTGAGCTCAATAAATAAATAATCTTTTCTGTATATATTCTGAGCCTGACAAATAAACGAATAACCGGAACTCTTAACTAATTCATTGTACTGACAATTATGTAGTCGCCATGTTTTCCAATTCTGTATACACTCCGTTACTTGTAATTGGCGCAGCTTAATTATTCAAGTTACGTATTAATATTAGACAATGGAACCAATGATCAAAGATACGGAGAAATGCTAAATTTTTTATGGGTTTATGGGTCTTTTTTGTTAGAAACTTTTTTGAGTAGAAAAGATCATATCTGTATTTAGGCACGAGTTCCGAAGATACATATTGAATAAAAAAGCACCTGTATCTGAGCATTTCATCAAATTTCGTGATGACTATTATTATCTCGGTGTTTTAAGTGTTTTATTTTATTTCATACATTTGCATTATTAGTTTCGAGAAACTTTCAAATTCAATAGTCGGATAATAATACAGAAAAAGTAACATATGTCAGTCAATTTCATAGTAGTGTAAGTATTTTTTATAAGTTAACAGAATGTGTACAGAAAGAGTTCCTCGTTACTTTCTTTTTTGAAGAGTTGTCAAGACAACTGAAGATAGATAGGGATGCTGGGTACCATAATCATTCATAAAAAATTACATTTTTCGACATACATAAATAGTTGAATGAAGCATTTGGCAATTAGTGGATTTTTAGACTGGCCACTGGGATTCTTCAAAAATAAAAAAAAAACTCAAATAATGGGTAAAAATCGTTAATGAGCATGTACACCATCAAATGGGGTTGAAATTCTAATCAGGGGTGCTTCAACCATATTTTTTATGCTAAATTTATGATGCTGCTAAACAATTAAAAAAATTACTTTTCGAAACCGTCAATTTGCCATGAAATCTAGTAATAATTAAATGATTTCTAACAAGACGATTCTCCTTTTAGATAGTCATTCTGGGATCCGAAAAAGACCTTCGACACTGTTAATTGCTATTAAACCAATTTAAATGATAAAATGTTCATATTACCCCGCACTCCCTTATAATATGTATAGGAAGATATTGAATCATAAGATTTGCATTTTATTTGTACATTTGAACGTGCAGTAACGTGGCTTCCCGCGTGTAATTGGCCGGTTCCTGCACTCTGAAATATGAAATAACGTACGCGACTCTGACATTAATTTTGTTAAATTATCCTCCTCGAAGCATAATATACTATCACAGAATTGAGTATCGTATTTGTAAACAAATATTGTAGTTTGAATGTCGAATCCTGCTTAGACACTATATATTCACAGGGGACACATAATTATAAAACATTCTGTTAATTCGTGAGTTCTGGAGTTCAGGAATAACTAATAGTTTTATATGGATGGTATATTCTATGGATATACGCCGAAAATTAATGACCACAATACGTTTTCTCTTAACAACAATATTTTAGAACATCAATCTGTTAACAGAAGCTTTACAGGTCATTTAACCAATATATAAAATTGTTCGTTCTCCATAACCACGTGTGAGGTGAACTTTTTTTTATATAAAAAATGATCATTTTCCGATTGCAGGAATTAACAATAACGTCGAACTCCTAAAAATATGGAGGTATTTTTACTCCCCTTGAAATTTCATTTTCAGATAGTTTATCACTCAAATAAGATTTCAAGACCGGATAGAGCATTTATCGAACCTCATCATTTGTTTAAATTTCATCTCAATAGCCTCAAATATATTAAATTTTAGGATCAAATTTGTGTTGCGGGATCCTCTTGAATAGTTATAAAAAGATAACGAAAAAAAATAGGAAAAATTATTGAAGGGCGCTAAATCGCGACATTGATTTGACGGGATCTACCAAGCTTACAAAAAAATAATAAGAAATACGCAGCTTGGAAGGCCTCCTCACTGGTTTGAGTATGGCGCTTTTTATTGGAATTTTTTTGTAAACTTGATGGATCCCTGTCGGTAGATGGTCCATGTGGGCCTTAACTTGAAATAAAATTGATTAATCAGAATTTTTTGATCCGTTTTATTATTGAATTTGCAATAAATTTCGGTTAGAGAGAGAGAGAGAGAGAGAGAGAGAGAGAGAGATTCCATTTCTTTTTTCATTGTATCTGACAAATACAAACGAGGAGTGTTGTGATACAGTGAGACAAGTTGAATTTACCATTTCCCCCAATTATTTGTCGTAAAAACTATCGATATGAGCTAAATGGAAAATGTTATCACCCAATACTTACCAATCGGACGAATAGAACTCGACTTCCAGGAACAATCAACGTAAAGTTTGCCAAGACTGAGGGCTAGCAGTTCACCAGAATCAGTATGGAGTACCTCATATTGAAAGATTTTTTCTGTCTGAAAATCAACCAAATACAAAAATGTTCGTAAACATTTTTCTTTCCAATCGGTAGTTTTCACGATTAATATCAGTAATTGACTTTTTTACTTTTTTACTTATTTCCGGTTGCCACTTGGCTATTGAATTGAATTATATTGCGATTCTAGTTTTTGCTATTCCTACTTGTGAATTGAAACTTGGAAATTACTGAAAATATGATACGTTTAGGTCCACAACTTTGTGAAATCTTCTGTTTGCACATATTACCGATTTGACATTTTTGTTTCTTTTTGAATCAGCCATTATCACGATAACTTAAGGAGTAAATGGGATAGGTAAGTGAGACGAGCAAATATTTTTTCATATTCATTCACAGAAAAACTCAAAGGTTTACTGCCGATGAAATTGATAGAAGTAGGGAATTAATTGCGCCCCTGTCAAAATATTCATACGAGCGGTCAGAGTGTAGACATCCTCTCCTTTCTCTTCAGTGATTAACTCTTCAAATTCATTTTAGACCTGCGTTCTAGTTATATGCAAGATTTTTCATTCGTTTTACATTATTTCTAATCGTTTCAATTAGGTAATTACTAGTTTCCGTAGTCAAAACTTATTTTTTCATCAATCTTGATATTTCCATCATGCTGTATAATAGAAAGCTGTGTAATAGAAGTGGTTTTAACAAAATTGGAATTCCCACAAAAGCTATTTTATTAATTTTTCTTCGTGGTATGCGCGGAAATCGGAAGGCAAGACGATTAATTAAGAATCGTTATCAGAAAATTGTTTTGAATGTTTCAAACCTGGATAGTCACAGATCGTCCCAAAAGCATTGATCAGCTTCTGTCGAGATTGAAAAGTAAAATTAATAAGGAGTGTGATGTTATTTGTACGATCCATTTACGCGTGGCATAATTTTTTTCGGATCCCCGACTATAAGAAACGGTGTCATAAGCTGAAGCGCAGGTTCAGCTCTTAACAGGGGCTAACTACTTACCAAACAACCAAACTAATGGATATTCAAACACATTTTCTGGTGTATAGAATAATATTTTAACCCAAAAAATAGTGAAACTTCAACGTAATTAAAGTGTGTTGAACTTCTCTACAACCACCATTGTTGGTATAATTTATTTATTAATTTTCAATATATTTCGAGAGAAAACTGCCTTACGTCTTAGGATCACTCACGAAAAAACTTTCCTCTGTTATGCGTTTGTTCCTTGAATTTCCGTAATCTGAGGGAGAATATCGTTTGACTTGAACGAACACTGCACATCCCGCATGGAAAAAATTACAAAAAAAAAGAAAAATTACAACTGCGATGGTTTTTTTTGGCGGAATTACATGTTACATCTATATCCAGCTTATATTTTCAATGTAAGCGGTAAGATATATCTGCACAGTTATATCCATAATATATTCCACATAATGCATTTGTTGCCGAAATGTATGCGACATATATCTCGATATATATTTTTTTCACGTGTAACTTATCAATTCTGTATTCTAATCGTTTCTTTTTTCCTTTTGTTGTGATATAAAAACGTTTAGTAGCGTCTGAGATAGAGAGTGAACGCGTCAGTCGTGTGCGATCCGTCGAGCCGTGAACATCAAAGTGTTATCGCATCCGAAAAGGTTTATCGTCATGTGCGCGTGCGCCTCGTTTTTGCCGACCCGCGCAACACCCTAGACATTCCTATCTTCCATCTGCCAGGAGTCTAAAACTGAAACGACTTATGAAATGTAAATATTGTTTCATCCCTTCTCAGTGTAAATTTCAGTATTGGTATCACAAATCTCAGGGAGTCTCCAGATAATCACCTAATGAATTGAAGAGAATTTGAATTTCACTTAGATATCTATTCTCTACTCCACCATTCATCACTATTAAATCAATACAATTTTTTTTTTCCCAATTATTATTGCATTAAATTTTTCGCAAATCAAAATGTTCTTAATTATGACTACGAACACGTTCAATGATGATTTAAAAGGGGATGATACACTATTCATGTACTTACATATGTATCTTCTATTTGAATGTTTTAAATTTAGAGTTTAAACGTTGAAATGTACGACACCACTACTATGGATACCTGGATTCACGATGTGGTAGGTGCAAAATGCAACAAAACAGTTCTTTCATTGCGTGGTTTTTAAACTGTTATTTTGATCTTTGTATTGACACCTCTTTTTGGATATGCCATTTTATATTTGGTAAAAGGGCACAATCTATGAAACAATGAAAGAATGTAAACCATTTTCTAACCGCATTGGACACTTTCAATGTGTAATGCTTATAACTTTGCCACCAAAGTACTTGGAAATGTTCGGACAAATAAGTTGAAGACTTATTTTGTTATTTTACCATCATCACTATGAATGAATGCATCATTAACTTTCATTGATATCCTTGTCAATCCATCCTTATGATTGCAAGTATTTAGCAATATTTATCCCCTGCTAATAGGAAAATGTTACTGCCAAGAAGGACAACTTTTTGATTGTGATTTTGAAAGATAATTGAAAGACCATTTGCTGAGTTGAGTGTGAAAAAGTGCGAGAGATAAGTAGGGAGGCAGTCAAGTTTAAGGCCACGAGACGACGGTGACGTCACTAGAGACTGCCAGGCCAGTCTTAACCTTGGCCAATACGTAATCAGTCAGAATCCCAACGATCCCAACCATCCCAACGCTTTTCACTCTATCGCACCAAGTAAACACAAGAGTTCTCTAAATTCAGTTTCAATGCCATCATCCTCACATTGACATCCAAAAGTATCTGAATCAATAGCGCAGTAGAGAATGAGAAGATAATTTCAATGGTATAAATTTCTTTGCTAAATTCAATTATTATTTATTCAATTACATTCAATTTTATAAATTAACCGATTGTACGAGGGGGATTCTAATCGAGTGGAAACCAATCGATTTTGGACATTGTCTTATCGTTGTCATATCGGATTATCTTGAAAATCCTCCTATGCCCAAAGTGTAAGAGTGACAATATTTTACGATTATTTAATTATTTAACTCGATCTTCCATTTATTGTTAGCAATTAAACTGTGGTTAAAGACTCGATATAATATAAGCTGGATTGGTTGTGGTATGTTCAATGTTGCTCGCTCGACAGTTCGTTTCCAGGTGTCCTCGGTCACCAATTCGTCCAGGGTGTCAGGTCTACCCACTAGACAAGGCCCTTTGTCTATGGGGTTGGTCCACGTGTTGGGCTGTTTCGTAATAAAATGTTTCCATTATTCCCTCTGATCAGTTACAACGGGTCTCTTGTTCGTTTTAACGTCGAAAATATTTCCAACAACAGGGGGTTTCATTTGTTTGAAAAATGGTTGTTGGCTGGTTTGTTTCAAAAATCGAATAAAACAATTCAAATCAGGCAGGCTTATATTGTCAATTTTATATCTAATTAACTAATGATTGATGAATATATTTTGAATATTTAACAAATGAATAAACCTCCAAAATGAATCGAATGAATGAATGAATGAATGCCTGAATTCGAGGTATCGAAGATTACTATAAAAATGAGAAAATGGCGCGGTTTTTAATCTCACAGGTAGCAATTACGAATTTCTGAAGAAACATTTGTTTTGTACATTTTTTAGTTGAAGTTTATGTAGTATTTGTAAAGTCTGTTGGTAATAGTATAACAAATAGCGTAACAAAATTAATAATAATAAAGAAAACTATGACATCAAATTTTATTTTTAACGAAGAAAAGATCATAAGTTATTTGATGAGGCCTAAAAAGTAAACTTCTGACGAATTTAATCATAATGCGTGCTTTCGGCGATAGGCCATGTGACATACATTGTTTTTTTTTACGAGGCCCAAATAACCGAGTTCTAAGAAGGCCTAGGTCTCAAATGAACGCGGTTAAGCCCGGCCGACTCACATAAAAAATCAGTTCATTATTAGTGTTTCTCCCATTAAATTATAGTAAAGTATATATAATTATGATATGATTGATTTAGAAAGCGTTAATTCTCCATGGACGTTAGGGACCTATAGTTAATTATATTACAGCCAACTCACTTTTATTTCCAAAACGCTCACTTGCCAAAAAAAAGGCTACACCATTTCGATCCAACATTATATATTGACCAAATGATTATATAATTGTAGCAATTATATAATTATATATATTATTAATTTGTAGCAATCGCCGTTTATTCCTCCCGATATTTTGTCCTTAATAATCATACTCAATTATTGAAGATATTCCATATTGATAGATGCAATATCTATGAGGAAAATTCAACGTATTGATTAAGCTTTCTTTATTGGGTTTTTAGGTGCAAACATTCTTTTGCGAAATCCAAACGATCTTGATGTTTCAAAATTTTGTTTCGCATCACAAATAAGTACGCCAGGTTGTCAATAGCAAATGTAATGCCTCATCAGGTTGAAGAGAATGCTATTAGAAACATGTAGAGATTTGAATATTGACCAAAAAATATTCTCCACAGATCTTATTTTAGGAAGACGAGCGGGATATGTGACGCACGAAGTCGCACCCATTGAAATTCACTTTTATTTTACACAGACCTTTTTTTCAGCGAAATCCTCTAAATGTTTTGTAGTAAAGTTTGGAACGATGCAAAATAAAAAATAGAAATAGATAACTCAGCCGTTTTGCAAATGTTCTTTCCATTTGCTGGATTATTTCTTATGAAAAATTGTTGAAATCTCAGGATTGAAAAGAAATGCTCAGGAGTATGTATTAATCACCGATCTTCCCAGCCGATAATAGTTGATGATTGATCAGCCATTTATTAATCTTTCCTTATATTCTAGATGATAGCGAAAACTTCGTGATTAATAATTAATTCTCTCTCTCTATCTCTCTGAATTTTTCACATTGTTTAAATTTTTCACATTTTTTAAGTTCGTGATGGGTCTTACGGTGATTCGAGATATTTCTAGATCGATTTCCTTTCTCCTTTTTATATTAAGAAGATAATCGATGTGTTTGGACAACCTGGTCAACAATTGCTAATTTCCATGAGAGTATGATTGTTACTGGGGTTCTGAGACTTTTGGATACGTCAAGCGCCACAAGTCGAGAGATAAAGCATAACGATGGTGCAGACAGATGTATCATTTGTTCAATTTTATGTTTCAGATACGGTAAAATTGTGAGAATTTTGTTAAATAAATGCAATACAATAATGCCAGCGGAATCACATCGGAATAATTAATTTGAATGCACCCGGTTGTTGAGTAGAAATGAATCAATGTCAACGTATCTCCTCCTTCACCTCCTAAATTAATCATTAATCATTGGATTATTTTGAAATACCACTTTGAAGTCTATAGTTCACCAATGCAAATTCCATAATTTTTTTTCTTTCTGTTCAACTATGAGAATCCGCAGACATGACTTGGAAGGCGTAGATTTCAAGGGCATTAGCATCGGGCAAATCCGTCCCCATTCGGATTGACGTCTAAAATTGCGATGGCGCGTCGTACTCGGCCTTGGCGATCGTGTCGGCTCACTCTTATAAAATCCAAGTTCAAGGCTAACCAGACGTTACTCCTCCCTCGAATGCCCTACCTCCTGATCTCCCCTTCTTAGAATATTCACATCTCGTTCATTGCTTTTACATATCTACATTTATCTTTCCTCCCTTCTACAAACGCACTAGGCTTCCAACGCAAAAACAATCGAGAAGCGGCTTCACTTATGCAACCCTTCCCACTCCCGTTACTTTCACTTCCATTCTCAGTTGATTCCTCAATTGATCACAATAACCGAGTCTTTCGATCGCTGAATATTCTTATCAACTCTCACTTTTTGTCAATTTTTTTTTTTCATTCATTGTTTGCTTTCTCATTAACTTCATAAGGTGAGCGTATATAATTAATAACATTCAAAGCTGTAATGGTACACCCAGGGGTCAAACGGAAGCGTTAAACACTTGAATGTCACTCGTCCCGCCCTAATCTCGTACTTTTATTGCCCTAGGAAGGTAAGTCGCCGCTCATCGCCCTTTGTTTTTTTACTTAGCTCCCTTGGGCAATAAAAATACTCGTTTAGTAGGCCCTCATAACATAAAGCAACATATGCCACTCGCTCTGAAACGTATTTTAGCAGCATCCCAAGTGAAAATTGAAACGAAGACGAACCTGAGGTTTTATCAGGATTTGATATGGCGGTGGTCAGTTTCAACTGATCAGGCAGAACTTGATAAGAAACTGATCAGTCTTCGATTTACTCAACCTGATCCACACTACTCTGATTAGGTTCTGATATGGTGAGCTTCATCTGAACCTGAGGTTCGTTCATCTGTAATCATTCTGATCAAGTTCGGATCAGGTGGGCTTGAACTAGATTATATAATTATTAACTTATTATTATTATTATTATTATTATTATTATTATTATTATTATTATCATCATCATCATCATCATCGTTATTATTATCATTATTATTATTATTTAAAAAAGTACAATGGATGAAATTTTTAATGAGTAAATTTTTGCTGCTCAAAATAAACGGATATCTTGAATATACATCGTATAAGCAAAGCAGAGTTCACTCAATAATAATCGTACGATAGTGGGTAGGGCATAGGATTAGTACTCGTGAGGTCCCCGGTTTGATTCTCAGTGCAAGGCAAAAATAATGCGCTTTCGTCGCAGACTCTGATAAAATACGTTGCCAAAATACTCTTCTGCCCTTGTAGCATAAATGACTATTCCCTCATCTCTTTGCAGCATGAATAGTGCACAATCTCTGACATGCATTTTTTAACTTCCTGTTCTATAGGAAGTTATTGTAATGACCCCGAAAATCAATATGGAAATTTTCAACATATCTTCACGTTTCAAGGCCTCCAGAGTAATCCGGGACCATTTTCGAGAGGATGTCTGTGTGTGTGTCTGTGTGTGTGTGTGTGCGTATGTTACTGGCGATGTACGTGGCCGAAATTTATCCTCAACGATTTCTCAAAAATGGATGATGCGACCGAAGTCAAATTGATACCATCGAAGCGTTTTCACGCCATTTGGTGCGGATTAGATTATAGAAGCAATTGCTCCAGCCGTTTTCCAGTTTTCCCAGAAAAACTGCGAAAACGGAAATTTCATCAACGATTTCTTGTCCGAAATTTATCGTCAACGATTTCTCAAAAATGGATGATGCGATCGAAGTCAAACTGATACCATCGAAGCGTTTCCACGCCATTTGGTGCTGATTAGATTATAGATGGAATTGCTCCAGCCG